ACTGGTGTGAAGCAATCTCCAACCGCCTATGACATCCCAAATAAACATGCATCCTCAACTGCATTTCCATGGTTAATTTGAAGTTACGTATATAACATGACAGTATAAGTAACATGTCAACATATTTAACATAAACCTTATAATATATGTTATTTTTTCACCTTCTCATAGACCTGGAATTTTATATTAATACCTAAAAACATGACCTGCTGATTGTAATCATACTAAGTAGGAAAATTAATTAATAAAATGAAAAATCAGAAAAACTAAAATTAAGTTACCTCTTAGAAAAATCAGGAAAATTAATTAATAAAATGCATTTCAGTCTTAGCTTTTCCTTGATAAACATGTAGTGCAGGGAGAAAAAAGAGGCAATTACTCTCAAAGTTTTGACGAGAATTCAAGTTTGCAAAGATCTAATAAGCATCTTAGTTTAGTAGAAGTCTAGAACAAAAATTGAAATGATATGCCTATGTTGGTCTTCTTATTTAATAATGAGTTGAATGATATATGACTCTGTTTGAGGCAACCAGCAAGATAAAAATTGGAAACACTCAAGTCTCATATCAAAATTAACTTAATCAAATCAAAGCACACATAAAGTATCATATATATTAATGCATATATATATATGGAGTAGCTATGAACGTGTAAGAACCTGTTAAACTTATTTTGAGAAACAAATTAAAGTCTAATTTTGATTCCAAAGAGAAACATACTTATGAAGTAGGGATATGAGAACTTCAAGTGCAATTACCTGCCAAACTATGGCATTAATATGGGGCACTTTAGATGCTCAGTTAGGGAACTTTTAAATTGGTGAGAAGATGCTAACTGCAGCACTTGTAGGAGAGTTTGAATTGCTCTTGTAAGAGGTGGTTAGAATTAAAAAAACAGGCATAACAAACTAAAATTCTGTACACTGATGACAAGAATAATATATACAAAGACGGTGTTTTAATAACTTAGTTAGCACAAATGAGAAGCACAAAGGAGAAAGCATACTGTCATACTTACCTTGAAATAAGAACATGTGAAATGATAAAGCACTACTCTGCAGCCCATACAAAAAAATTGGTTTGCTTGGTGCCAAAATTAGCATCATCATTGATGGGAACAAGAAGAAATAGTTGCAGCAAGGCTAAGAAACTGTCTAAATTGAACAAGTAAAAAAATCCAAGGCATGAGTATGACCATATGTATATACATACCTCCAATGATGTTTGTTTTGAACAGAGAAGTGGACTTCTGTTCCTTAGACGCACTCATCATCTGCAGCAATCCAGCCAACCATTAGAAGTAGTTAATGAGCCAAGTGTTAACATAAGAAAAATCACATTGCTACAACAGAAAGTTCAAAAGTTTTGGTATTCTGAACTCTGGAGGATTTGATTCAACGACCCTATGACTTTTTTAAAGTAAAGTTCTAAACCTGTTTATGGTTGACAGCGAGATACACATTAAATTATAGATGTAAGTCAACAATAGCAATAACATAAAACTAGTACTAAATATATTATTTTCACAAGGAGACATAGTGCAAGTTAAACTGATTTAGTGACAAGTTAGGATAAGTGGTCAATGTTGGTTCAGTCTACAAGGAAGCATAGTGTTAGATTTACAATGTCAGACTAGTTAATAGAACATGAATGTTACCATATATTGGTTATAGTTTAATAATGTAAAAGTGAAGAACTGTTTTTTGATATTTTTTGGAGAAGAACATTGATTTTTCCTACTCACAGCAGCTTGTTATCTTTTTAGGGGTTTCAATTCAATTACTTGCTATTCCCAGGTTCACCTTTCCTTTGATTTGGTTCAGGCCTTTTGTTTCTTTCTATTTTCTTTCTTCGACAGAGTTCACTATGTAAAGTGAGTTGAATAACAGATAGTTTAACCATGAAGTTAAAGAAGCACCATACTCTTATACTTTATTAGTTTTTAAATTTAGTTTTCATTGGTGAAATTGGTATCAGCGCCTCTACTATTTTGTTTAATATACTTTCATCCTTGAACGATACAGAGTAAAAGATGGCTATTCATTGTGAAAAATATAGCTTATAAAAATGATAGAGAAATTATAGGCCATCACACGATTATACAATGAGTATACGACAAGTAAAACTACCTTTCCTAAGACTGTCATAGCATGTACAAGGTTTTATATCCCACTTTATGAAATAAGTCTTTATGTGAAGAGATTTTAAGAAATAAGCTTAACCTTAAGTGCCAATCCAAAATAAGCTCATTCTTAGAGGTAAAATGATTTGGATAAGTGGCGATTATAAGTCTTAAGATAAAAAATATTCAGAAAACACCAAATACAAATTTGAGGTTAACATCAAGTATTACACAAAACTCTTATCAGACGGATATGTCAAATCTGGCTAAAATCTAGAAAGTTTTTTTTTTAATCAAACTTATTGACAATTTTGGCACAAGCTATTGCAAATCATTTAGAACTAGAAATTGTTAAGTCTCGTATGAACGAATACTATAGAAACAGTGATACTATCAAATCATTTACACACACATGCTGCATACAGAGTGGGGATGAGAAAGAAGGAAAAGGCATCAACATACCATCTCTGGGGACGTTGCCTAGGTGAGGAAAATTGGAAAAACCAGCGCCACGGAAATTCATTGGTGAGGAAGAGCTATTCCAGATCCGACTAAAGTTGAAATACGAAATTATATGGCTTTGGAATAGGCTCTGTTGCGGGCGGGCGATTTTTGGTTTAAGCCTTCATTACACTATGTCCAAAAATAAAGAAATAAACTGCCAGGAATGATTTGAGCGCACAAATCGTAACAATTAACGTGTGAACCTTCGCCGATTGGTAGCTATAAAGCCTGAAAGGCGAGTTTATACGAAGAAGATGATGAAACCAATCAAAAACCGTGTCTTTGCTAGAGATTTCTAAGATATAGAAAAAAAATAAATTGTAGGGTTTGGATATATGGACGAGGTCGAGAGGAACCATATATACCTTCGCTAGATGCACCGCAAGATGTGTAACAGCGAAGAAGAGGAAGACGCTCCATGTAGTAGAGAAAGAGACATGAAAAGAGAGAATCTCGTTGATAGCGTTGCTTCCCTTCAATACCGCCTAATCGATGGAGTTTCCTGCTGCCATTCATCTGCTTCACTGGTAGTTTGGACCGTTTGCTACGAGAATCGCTTATGAGGAGAGTAAGGGTATGGCTAGGGTTCTAAATGTTTGAGAATCGCGATAGCTGTGGCCGAATAAGAAGGGCAAGAGTTAAATGATGGGAGTACGTATGACTCCGTATATGTATAAGCGTCACTATCCTATACTCATACTTTAATGTTAAAAACGGTGACGTATTAAGTGTCGTTAAAACTATACCGATGTTATAATGTCACTAAAGAAGTGTCACTGTAAGACAGTTTTTTAGTAGTGTGACCTTGTTCCTGATCTTCGTCGTATAGGCGCGGCGGGGCTCTTCCATGAGAAAGGTGCCAACCAAAACCAGTCAAAACCTTGCATCACCGCCGCCCATAATTCCTCTTTGTCCACCAAGAACCAAGCCTACCTGTTTCCCTTCAAGCATCAATCGATCACCCTCATGTTCTAGAATTCTCAATCGGCAGCCTTCTCCCATCAGGTGCGAAGGAAGCTGTCGAGATTTAGCCATTAAATCAAGAAGAAAAGCTCGCATGCGCGAGAGAAACAACTCGCATACGCGAGACTGCCGCCTAGGGTTTTTGCAAAAGCAAAGGTTGCAAAATCGGATTTGATAGTGAGAACCCTTTAATTTAGAAAATTTTATTTTTGCATGGACCCAAAACTTAAAACATAACATAACATGTATGATTATAGAAATGAGATTTATGCTATACTTAAATGAGGTACAAATATCATGTTCATGTTTCTAAAAGGAAGCTTGACACCCACTATTATGGATATCCTTATGCATGTAAACATAGTTTCAAATTCTCCGGTCACTTTTACAATGACGTTATTTTCCATACCAATAATCAATGCAAATGTTCAACCGATTTCAATGTCATTGCAATGGAAGTTGGTGGGTTGCACTATTCCATTGCAAGTCGTTCATTTTGTAGTAGATATCTGGTATTGGAGTTGTGCTTTCATACTCATTATCACGCATCTTTAGCTTAATTTGCATGCATGAAATGTATTAATTTTTATTTATATATTGATGGTCCTAGATAGAGGTACACATCTAGAAGGGGTGAATAGACTTTTAAAGCTTTTCGCTTTAACAAAGTATCCCCTCTAATAGAGTGAGTTCCAAAACCTTTTGTATGAGTTTTGTTCTCAGAAACAAGCGGTTATGATTAGCACAGAAGGCTTCTAGTCATTTCAACACAAAAGGCTTCTAAACAGATAGAGACGCTTCTGATATAGATTTAACAAGCTTCTTTATTATGAAAGGCGTTCTATTTACTTGGTTCAAAAGTAGTTTTGTACTAAACAAAAGTTCTTTAATACTTAACGGGTAATATGTTTGTGGACTTTGATGGAAAGTATGGTTTGAGTTTTATTTGAGACCGGAGTTTGGTAAAGTTTGTTTGAATGAAATATGTTTCAGAACCAGAGTTGGTAGGGCTCTGTTTTAGTAAAATCAAGCTGGAAAGATATGGCTAAATTTGATCTATTGTTTTTAAACTTGAGATGTGAACTGACTAATGTTCAGCTTGAATGGGTATATAGATATGCTTTGTATTAATATAATGCAGTCAAGTGCTTGTATCAAGCTTTTCTGAATATAAGTACTTAGGACTGTAAGACTTATTTATGTGTGATTGAAAATGTTTGAAAGTAAATGACATAAGGAATTTCCACTGAGATGATGGATTTCCATTGAGTTATTATTCTTCTAATACACTCAGTGCCTATGATCACCAAACCATCCTAGGCTATGAGATTTTTCACAAGGACTGCAATACCATTCTAAGTTAAAATGCTACTAATTAAGTCATATTCTACCCATGCTTTTGGATTTGATCACTAAGCCCTTCATAGGTGTATGCAAGTTTAGTTTTACAGAGAAAATATAAACTCCCAAACTATGCTAAGCTCTAAATATTTTGCACTGAATACTTCTATCTAAGAGCCCAGACAAGTTTTAGTGAGCTAGGAGAGAAGTGATGAATTAACACTTTATCTTTGCTTGATCTTCGAATATGTGCGTATTGAATCGATCAAGCTCAACTATTGTGCTCGCTTCACATTTCAACTCTATTTATAGACTTATGGTGTTGATTCTTTACCATTGGTGAAGATGGATCCATCTTGGTCGTTTATTTTCACATATCAAAATATATGGGTGTAGGTATGGTGAATGGTTGTCATCTTCTTAAAGTTGGACTTCTATTTCCGAGCAGTGCAATCAGCTTGCTTGATTTTGCAGCTGTCATCTCGGTGCAATAAGCAAGCTCATAGTTAGGGTTGTATCTTGAAACAATGCAATCTGCTAGCTTGGACAAGGCGGTAAGCCTACCCATGCTGTGTCACGCCCCGGACCTATCCGGACACGTCAACAACCCGCCGTACAATACGAATAGTCAACCGCAGTCCAACACATTCATATTATACAAGGCGTCTTGAATATCATTCACACATATACATCCATAAACAAACATAATAAGTAATTCATAACGCAGCGGAAAACATTGTTTAAAACAAAAGGGCCACACATGGCTATTCATGAGCACGCAGGCTCTATACTAAAATATCCATGAGCATGTTTATTAATGTTTAAAAACAGAATGGAGGAAGCACGAACCAAGTCTTCCCTCCTAGATGAATCTCTCGAGCAACGAGCACATGAAGCAAGCTCTAGCCTCAACCTGAAAAATGGTGGTGGGACGCCCCCGAAGGGGTCAGCACTCTATAGGGCTATAAAGTGCTAGTGTGGATGGCATCTAATAGATATACAACAAGTATTTCAAACACAAGACCCTCAAATAGGGTGATAATATAATCTAGGCCGTAACCCCAAGTTACCCCGTTTTAAAATATACTTACTTTATATATAAAGTCAAGTAGTCGGCCCGTAGGCCCAAGGTTTGTTTATCAAACATACCCCAAAATCCCGTGACCCCTAGTCACAACAATACATAGGGTTCAACCCTAACACACATGTTTGCATTCTCGAGTCCAACTCGACTACATCACCATGCACCTTTATTAACATAAGCTAACTACTCCACCGTGCATTTCTTGAGTCCAACTCAACTACATCACCATGCACTACAATCACCTCATCATGTCTACCCAATGCAATTCTATGAGCACGGGCTCAAGTACATCTCCTTACATTGGCATAGACCCCAATTCCTAAGCACTCACTATGCCTAGAATTGTAATATCAATAATCTATTTTTGGGACATCCCTACGGACTGCCCAACCATGGTCTTAGCATCACATTACGTCAAATTTGTCACTTGCATCACAATCAAGTTCATCAATTACAATCAAATCCTTAGATTCAATTCTTCAACAATTACAACAATCATTAACTAGTATTTCAATACTATTAAGATTATTCTTATCCATCATATATTCCATTTATAAAACCCTACATATTTAGAGATATGTAGCAGCAACTTAATCATTCAATGTAATACATAAATAATCATTTATGTATCTACACAATTCACACATGAGTAAAATGACTATTTCACACAATAGTTCATTTAACTCCATTTTTATCAATACTTTGCCAAATCATTTTCTCATTTCATTCTTTGGAAAATAGATCAATTTTCCATCAATAATTTATCATCATAATCCATGGAAAAACATGATTTTGGCATTTAGGTAATCTCATGCTTAACCTACAAGTTGTAAGCAACTAGATGTCGATCCTCACCTCAAATGAGCTTTAAAACTTTCCTTCTCGATCCAATGACTAAAGCCTCGGCCAAGGAAGCTTGAGAACTGATTCCTTGCTTAGAAAATGGGTGTTAAACAGCCTCCTCAAGTGCTAGTTCAACCCTTAATCGTTGGTACGAAAACAGCCCCTAGAATGGGTGTTTTCCGGTTAACTCGTTTCCTAGTTTTCCAAGATTTGCTCTAGATTAGTATCTAACCTTTACATCAATAAAATAACTTTATGGGGACATATTATGCACTTTTATTAGTGTACAATAGTTCCACCAATCGTTCATATCATTTGGAAAATGAATGGAAAGGTTTTGGGATTAACAACTCACTTAGAAGAGTAAATCCGTTCTTGCGAGGTCGCGTTCTGCTCGGACGATTTGGAAGCCTTCCTCTACTCCGATTGATGCAAACCAGACCTTCACGGATTCCTCGTCTTGAGAGCTTTCTTTTGGTATCACAACACGCCTTAATTGGATTGGTAAAACTCGAGATATCAACCAAACAGTCTCAGCACTCTCACAGCTCGAGTTCACAGACCACTGCTCGTTCCAGATCGATTTTTGGATGATTACTCTCTCCTCTCGAACAGAGACCACTCAATTATAAAAATAGACTTCAAAATCTATCCAAGGACACCTTATAAACGTTGTTTGGTCGAGTATAACTCCCATAATGAGTGGAGACAACCAGCACACCATTTTGTGCGAAAAATAGAGATGGTGGCCCAACATTTGATTCCTATCAAGTCTTGTGCAGCTCCTCTCCATGGTGGTCGGCCAAGGTAAGTTTCCTAACCCATTTTTATTTGTCTTGCAGGTACTAATATCATGTGGAGTGGTTCCCAATTGATCCCAATCATTTTGGGATCCAAATTATCTACCAATACTTCCAAAAATGGGGAAAATGGGTCCTATTGTTTTATCTTTGTCAAAAGATGTCTTTTTGTACTCATCCTAATTTATTTAGAACAAGTCAACTTCCTAAATCACATTATTGATCTCCAATATGTGTAGGCTCATCCCAATAATTTACTTGATGGATATTATAGAAGGAAAATCCTACTCCCATTATTTAGCTCAAAAATGCCAAAGATAGGGTTGTAGGCATTGGTATTCTTCTTTAATCATTCGATCACTTATTTAGATAATGTTGAGCTCTTTTATTTATTAATAAGTCCCGAAAAGTGTTTGCAAACCCGACACTATCATACGAGTTTGAACAGTACGATATTCAGTCATGCACTACGTAAAACATTAATCGTTTTACAATTGTTTGGCAATCGGAAATTCAATACATAAATGTTAAATTTTTAAATCGAATTTTCAAGGACGTTCGGGTGCGGTGTCACAAGTTCACCCCCCCTTAACAGGAATTTCGTCCCCGAAATTCAAAGCTCTACTCGAATAGGAAAGCATACTGCTTCCTCATCAAAGCCTCTGTTTCCCATGTCTCTTCCTCGACCCAATCGCTCTTCCACAGGACTTTAACCATTGGGACTTCCTTGCTCCTCAGTTTCTTCACCTTTCTATCGGTGACCTTGATAGGTTGAACAGCGTAGTTCAAATCCTCACGTACCTCTACAGGTGGCTTCTCCAATACGTGAGAGGGATCATGCACATACTTCTTAAGCATGGATACATGGAACACATTATGTATCTTCTCTAACTCAGGAGTCAACTGTAGACGATATGCAACGGCCCCAATCCTCTCTATAATTCTGAATGGACCTATGTACCGTGGGTTAAGCTTCCCTCGGGTTTGAAATCGAATGATTCCTTTCCAAGGAGAAACTTTCAAGAACACCTCGTCATCAACCTTAAACTCTAAGGTTCTTCGACGCTTATCTGCATAACTCTTTTGCCTATCCTGAGCCGCTTTGAGTCTCTCTCGAATCAATTTCACCTTTGATTTGGTGACCTCAACCAACTCAGTACCCTCGAGTTTGGCCATGCCAACCTCGTCCCAGCATAACGGTGTACGACACCTCCTCCCATACAATGCCTCGTATGGAGGCATGTCGATGCTGGCCTGATAACTGTTGTTATAGGCAAACTCCACAAGTGCTAAGTGGTTGTCCCAACTTCCTTGGAACTCCAATGCACAAGCCCTCAGCATGTATTCCAAGATCTGTATGACTCTTTCAGACTGTCCATCCGTCTGTGGGTGGAAAGCCGTACTGAACTTCAACCTCGTTCCCATAGACTCCTGAAATTTCGGCCAAAAACGTGATGTGAATCGTGGGTCTCTATCGGATACAATGGTCACTGGGACCCCATGCAGCCTCACGATCTCATCCGTATACAATTTGGCTAACCTCTCAAGTGGGTAGGTAGTGTTGATAGGCAAGAAGTGTGCACTCTTTGTGAGCCTATACACAACGACCCAAACTGCATCATAGTTCCTGATTGTCCATGGTAAACCTACCACGAAATCCATAGTCACGTGTTCCCACTTCCATTCAGGAATGGAAAGTGGCTGCAATAAGCCTGCTGGATGTTGATGTTCCGCCTTAACTTGTTGACAAGTAAGGCATCGACTAAAGTATTCGGCTATTTCCCTCTTCATTCCAGACCACCAGTAACTTTCTTTCAAGTCACGGTACATTTTCGTGCCCCCCGGGTGCATGGCATAAGCCGATGAATGAGCCTCCTCTAAGATGGACTTTCGGAGCTCCTCATCTGACGGTACACACACTCGGTCACGAAATAACAAGAAACCATCATCTCTTTCCCTGAAATCCTCCACCGATCCCGCTTGCATGCGTTCCCGGACCTTCATAAGTTCTGTGTCCTTCTCTTGACCCTTCTTGATCTCATCAAGTAGAGTCGGTCTCACTTCGAACCGTGCCAATAAGGCACCGTCGCTAGATACCTCCACTTGGGCCCTCAGTGCCCTCAAACTAGTCAACAATGCCCCAGACAAACTCTTCCGGCTGAGGGCATCTGCTACAACGTTTGCCTTACCTGGATGGTACTCAATAACTAGATGGTAGTTGTAACACCCCGGCCCCGTGGGACCCGAGGTAGTTACTCCGGACCAATAGTACTGTCCTCACAAACCGCCACTATCCTTCTACGCGCACTTTGTCCTCACTCGTGCGCGCCCTGAGAAACTTCCCAGGGGGTCACCCATCCCAAGACTACTCCCGTGCGAGCACGCTTAACTTTGGAGTTCTTGGCTAATGAGCTCCCTTAAAAGGAGATGCACCTTGTTGGTATGAGTAGTACTATTAATCCATTTATATTAAATCTCAAGTGTTACAATCACCCCCACTTAGGATCGCAACGTCCTCGTTGCGCCCTTAAACCAATCTCAATCACACCCCAGAATCTTTTTCCCCTGCTAAGTGCCCGCCCGATATCCAACGGATCAACACACTGTCGCAGGGTTGCTCTGATACCACCTGTAACACCCCGGCCCCGTGGGACCCGAGGTAGTTACTCCGGACCAATAGTACTGTCCTCACAAACCGCCACTAGCCTTCTACGCGCACTTTGTCCTCACTCGTGCGCGCCCTGAGAAACTTCCCAGGGGGTCACCCATCCCAAGACTACTCCCGTGCGAGCACGCTTAACTTTGGAGTTCTTGGCTAATGAGCTCCCTTAAAAGGAGATGCACCTTGTTGGTATGAGTAGTACTATTAATCCATTTATATTAAATCTCAAGTGTTACAATAGTCCTTTATCAACTCCATCCACCGTCTCTGTCTCATGTTTAACTCTTTTTGAGTAAACACGTACTTCAAGCTCTTATGATCGGTATATATGTGACATGTCTCTCCGTAGAGATAATGTCTCCAAATCTTCAGTGCAAACACCACCGCTCCCAGCTCCAGATCATGGGTAGGATAATTTACTTCATGCTTCTTCAACTGTCGTGAAGCATAGACAATTACCCTCCCTTCCTGCATCAACACACACCCAAACCCTTGGATGCTCGCGTCACTATAGACATCGTACCCCACACCCTGTTTGGGTAATGCAAGTATCGGTGCCTCGGTCAATCTCTTCTTCAGTTCGATGAATCCTTTCTCACATTTGTCATCCCATATAAACTTAGCTCCCTTTCGAGTGAGCTTCGTCAACGGCGACGCCAAAACAGAGAACTTTTCCACGAACTTTCTGTAATAGCCTGCCAATCCAAGGAAACTACGAATTTCCTTGACATTCTTTGGTCTCTCCCATTCGGTAATGGCCTCTATCTTCTTATTATCAATAGCAATTCCCGATCCCGAAACCACATGCCCGAGAAAGCCAATTTCCTTTAGCCAAAATTCACATTTAGAAAATTTGGCATAAAGTTGCTTCTCCCGTAGTGTCTCAAGAACGAGTATCAAGTGCTCTTCATGCTCTTCCTCACTCTTTGAGTAAATCAAAATGTCATCTATGAACACAATCACGAATCGATCCAAGTATTTATGGAATACTCAGTTCATCAAGTCCATGAATGCCGCTGGGGCGTTTGTTAACCCAAACGACATAACAAGGAACTCAAAATGCCCATACCTTGTGCGGAAAACACTCTTTGGTATGTCGTCTTCCTTAATCTTCAATTGATGGTAACCCGACCTCAAATCAATCTTTGAAAACACGGTTGCCCCTCGTAGTTGGTCAAACAAGTCATCAATTCTAGGCAAAGGATACCTATTCTTGATTGTGACCTTGTTCAGTTGACGATAGTCAATACACATTCGAAGTGTCCCATCTTTCTTTTTCACAAAAAGAACTGGTGCTCCCCACGGGGAGTGGCTTGGTCTAATGAAACCGTTATCCAAAAGCTCTTGCAATTGGGTTTTCAACTCGTTAAGTTCAGCGGTTGCCATACGGTATGGCGGTATGGAGATTGGTTTGGTACTAGGCTCGACCTCGATCACAAATTCAATCTCCCTGTCAGGTGGCAGCCCCGGTAGGTCTTTAGGGAAGACATCCGGATACTTACAAACCACCCTCACATCATCGATGTTCGTTTCCTCTTTGGTTTTGTCAACCACGTATGCTAGATATGCGTGACATCCCTTTCTCATCATATTTCTCGCTCTCACGGCGGATATGATACAGCTATTTGATCTCCCTCGATCGCCCTCGAAGCGTAGGGTCTCCCCATCATTGCCTTCGAGTTCAAGAACCTTCGTGTAGCAATCTACCCTAGCATGGTTCCTTTCTAGCCAATCCATCCCTAGGATTGCATCGAATTCAATCATGCACAGCGGTACGAAGTCACACGTCAAGGTTTGACCATTAACCTCCACCCCACAAGATGGATAATAACAATTTCTTTCCACGTCATCTCCTAGTGGTGTTGATACCACTAAGGTTTGCATCAATGGTGCGGATTGCACCCCCAACCTCTTGGCGAACGCTTCATTCACAAATGAACGTTGCGCCCCGGTATCGATAAGGATTCGCGCATCCTTCCCATTAATCTTTAGTGTCCCTACATTCATGAACCATGTAAGACATTTTTCCTACCCTCCCTACTCATTTATAGGAGGTTACAATGTTCACACGCATGTTAGGGATCAAGAAAAGGTCTTAATGTCGCAAAACGGTGCGAAAAAATCACATTTCGGCAATCTGGGTGCCAGGCACGGCGTGCCTGGGGTAGGTACGATCGTGCCTAGCTCAGGAAAAAGCCATGGGGGCTACTGCCTTGGAGGCACGATCGTGTCTACCTTAGGCACGATCGTGCATGGTTTGGAGAAACACCTAGGGAGCTACTGCCTTGTAGGCACGAACGTGTCTGCCTTAGGCACGATCGTGCCTGGGCTGGGGAAATTCCTGGGCAGCTACTGACTTGGAGGCACGATCGTGTCTGCCTTAGGCACAATCGTGCCTGGGTTCCAGCCGCCTGAAGTTGCCCGAAATCCCCCGGTTTGACCCCAAAACCTTGTGCAATGATCCTAGCGATTAGTAACCTCAATTTATGGACTAATTAAGGATAAAACACTAGTATACGAGAGGCAATACCTGCAACGGAATCCGGGTTAGCTTGAGCATCCGCCTCCGTCATCGCGTAGACCCTAGCTTGAGTCCTTCCTTGATTCACGGACGGCGCATTGCTTGCGCTTGCTCCCCCTTTCCCCCTGGACGCTTGTGAAGTCCCGGCTTGATTCCGTGTCCCGGTATTACCACTACTTGGCCCTGATGCCCTCGTCCCGCCCAGTTGCGGGCAACTCATCTTCATGTGTCCGGTGCTCCCGCATTGGTAGCATCTAGGAGGGTCACGACATTTCCCCGGGTGGTTCCTCTTGCAATTCTTGCAACGAGTCACCCCCGAGGCCTGTGATTGCCCGCCCGGGCCATGACTTCCCCTAGGTGGCAGTGGGGGTGTCCGAAAAGATCCCCCTCCCCCATGGTTCCCCTTTTTGCTAGGACCTTGAGGTCCAAGGTTCTCCCACTTCCTCTTCTTTGCCTCTTCGGCGTTTTTCAACTTTCTTTCCTCCCATTCTTTCTCTCCTTTTAACCCTTGCTCGACCACTTGGCTAAAGGTCATGTTGGGCAACTGTGTTGCCCTCTCACGCACCTCCAGGTCTAAGGCATCCCAGAAGTGATTTACCATCCGGTTCTCGTCACACACATACTCCGGTATGAACTCCGCGAGCTCCCTGAATTTGTGTTCAAGTTGCCTCACCGTCATTTTGCCCCCTTGGGTCAGGAGGGTATACTCTCTCCTCTTGGCGTTCACCTCAAAATCAGAATAAAATTGGGCAAAGAACTCCTGTCGGAAATTCTCCCAAGTCACAGTGTTGCCATACTTTCCCTTGGCTCCGTCCCACCATGTGGATGCCATCCCCTCAAGCAGTCTCACCGCCACCCTTAGTTTAAATTCGGGGGTGAGTTGCATATCAAGGGCTGCTTCGTTCAGCCTCTTGATCCACTCCGCGGCGACCGAGATGTCACCTGCTCCGTTGAAGGGTTTGCACCCCAAGTCTCTCGCCTCTTTGAGAAATTTTGAGATCCTCATGATCGGACCTCCGTCACCCCGGCCCCCATGTGGTTCAATGTGGGCCCTAGAGTCGCCATGGCTTCTTCCTCTTGAAGCCCCACCCGAAGTTCGCCCTCCCCGGCGCCTTCGGCGTTCCCTCCTTTCTTCGCGCTCCCGCTGATATTGTTGGAGCAGCGCCTCGATTCTTGCTAGGGAGTCATTCTCCCCCTCTTCATCACTTACATCATCGTCATCCCCTTCGTAAGGGGTCTCAACCGGCTCGGTCCCCGGTTGGTAAGTCGAGTCCTCATAGGACCAGTAGGTTTCACTTTCTGTGTCAACATGACCGTCACTCACGGTCTGTGATCGGCCTCCACGGTCAGCTCCTCTAGATGCCCTAGAGGTCCTTCGACTGCCCTGTCCAGTCTCCACTGGTACACGGCCCGTCGGGTTTCTCCTAGTAATCCTGCCACCACGGTCCATTTCTGAAAGAAATTTGGAAAGAGTCGTTAGACTCGTATCAAATGTCAATTGACGGATAGGTACTTAAGACACATTTTGGCTCGAGTCACCGCCATACCAATTGCTAAGGGTACCATCTTAACAATTAGAGACCTTGCAACCCAAGTACCAAAAGCTCTCCAAGTACAAAACTTCTATGCTCATGGTTTTCAAAATCTTTTCCAAAAAGAGAATTTTGAGACTTCATTATGAAGTTTATGGAACCTGGCTCTGATACCAACTTAATTGTCACGCCCCGGACCTATCCGGACACGTCAACAACCCGCCGTACAATACGAATAGTCAACCGCAGTCCAACACATTCATATTATACAAGGCGTCTTGAATATCATTCACACATATACATCCATAAACAAACATAATAAGTAATTCATAACGCAGCGGAAAACATTGTTTAAAACAAAAGGGCCACACATGGCTATTCATGAGCACGCAGGCTCTATAGTAAAATATCCATGAGCATGTTTATTAATGTTTAAAAACAGAATGGAGGAAGCACGAACCAAGTCTTCCCTCCTAGATGAATCTCTCGAGCAACGAGCACAGGAAGCAAGCTTGATAAGTCCATTTTTGTACTTATTTTTCTTATCAAATTTAAGCGATTTTTGAATGAAAATAGAAAGAAAAGACACATTTTATATATTTTGGTTCAAGTTTCATGAAATCAGGTAAAAATCACATCCATAATATGTTTAGCGGGATTTCGGGTCAATTGAGCACAAAATGAGTCAATTTGAGTGACAAATACATTTATACCGGAAGAAGCAAGCATTTTATCAAGGTGATTCAGAAGACAAAAATGAAGAGCAGGAAAAGCCGCATCTGCCAGACAAAAGTGGCAGAAGGCGCCCAAATAGGCGCCCAAAATGGAGGCCTTCGCGGCCGCCTACGGGAAAAATCAGAAGTCAACCTCGCTTTGACTCGGGACCAGGAAAAGACCGAAGGCTGCCGACACTGGGCAGAAGGCGGCCGCCTACGGTGGCCGCCTGCGGCACAAGGGGACGAAACCAACCACCGGTCGGCCAGACAGGACGGCAGGCGGCCGCCTGCTGGACCGCCTGCGGCGGCCGGGATCCGTCGGGATCCGTCGGGATCCGATCTGCCAACGAAAAGATGGCAGGCGGCCATTTTTGACAGAAGGCGGCCGCCCTCTGTGGCCGCCTACGGCTGACGGGACCGCCACCGACGGTCTGCCGGCGACAGGACGGCAGGCGGCCAGAGGCTGCCGGAAGGCGACCGCCTGCCCGGGCGCCTACGGGAATTTTTCGGCTATAAAATCCAGGCTTTTTCCTCAACTCAAACACACCAATTTCAAGCCCAAATCAGATCAAAAAGGGCGTCTTCTTCCTCCTCAAAGCTCGGATTTCCACCATTGTTGCACCTTCAACTTCAATCTTTCATATCTTTCTCATTTTAGCTCCAAATTGTGAGTTCTTTATATGTATTTTCATCTTTTCAATGAGTAGAATCTGAATCTGTA